CAAGAGAATCACTTAAGCCCAAGAGTTTGAAGTTGCTGTGAGCTGTGACTCCATGGGTACTCTACCAAGGGTGACAAAGTGAGACTCTATTTCAAAAACAAAAAAAGGACATAACGGAGATGAATTGTGAGTCTATAGCTATGATCCAGAAGCAAAGGCCCAGTTGTCCCAGCAGAAGTCACCTGTTTCTCCATGCCCAAAGAAGGCGCAGCACAATCTCAGCAAGATTAAGACCATGTTAACTGTGTTTTTTGATTGGGATGGTGTTGTTCATCACAAGTACACTCCCCCAGGCCAAACAATTAATACAGAGTAATCTTCAATGTTACTGAGCGATTGAGAGAAGCAATGTGACAAAAAAGGCCTCTGGTGATCAGCAGTTTCATCATGACAACTCACCTGCCTATGCCTCATGCCTCATTCAGAATTTTTTGGCAGAATATCAAATCACAAGGGGACTGACCCCCCCCCCCCCGCCCACACAGCCCAGATTTAGGTCCCTGCAAGTTCTGGCTTTTCCCAGAACTAAAATCTCCTTTGAAAGGGAAGAGATTTCAGACCATCGATGACATTTAGGAAAACATGCAACTGATGGCAATTCCAGTAAAGGATTTAGCAGAATGTTTTGAACAGTGGAAGAGACATTGGAAGAACTATGTGAGGTCTCAAGGTGCCTACTTTAAAGGGGACTGAGGTATCATTGCATCTTGCATCTTCTTCAGTAAATGTCTCTGTTTTTCATATTCATGGCTGGATACTTTCCAAACAGAACTTGTATATAATCACCCAATGAGAGATCTGAGGGACCATGTACTATGTATATTTCTCACTTTTAGGATGTATATAAATAAATTAGACCATTTTTTTAAAAAGGGGATCCTTGTGGGCAGCACCTGTGGCTCAGTGGGTAGTGCGCCAGCCCTATGTACCATGGCAGGTCCGAACCCAGCCCCAGCCAAACTGCAACAACAAAAAATAGCCAGGTGTTGTGGCAGGCGCCTGTAGTCCCAGCTACTTGGGAGGTGAGGCAAGAGAATCACCTAAGCCCAGGAGTTGGAGGTGCTGTGAGCTGTAATGCCATAACACTCTACTGAGAGCAATAAAATAAGACTCTGTCTCTTAAAAAAAGGGGCGGGGGTCCTTATAATAGTTGAAATTTCTAAAATGGTTCCCCAAAGATATCCTAGCCTAATGTCTTAGAACCCATGTGTATGACAAAATAGCTCTCTCATGATTATTGTGTTATAATGGCACAGTGACCTTAAAGTGGGGAGGTTTTTCTGGGTGGGCCTGGTCTAATCACATGAGCTCATAAAGGCAGAGAGCATTCTCAGCAGATGGCAGAGGGGAAGCTGGAGAAATTCAAAGTGTGAAAATAACTCAAATTGCTATTGCTGGTTTGAAGATGGAAAGGGCTGCATTAGAAGGAATGCGGGAGCTCTACATGCAGTGAGCAGCCAGCCACTAACAGCCAGCAAGGCAGCAGGGACCTAAGATTTGCAGCCAAAAAGAACTGAATTCTGCCAACCTGAGTTTGAAAGCAGATCGCTCTTCAGATCCTGCAGATAAGAACCAGAGGTAGACAACTTGATTTCAGCCCATGAGAAGCTGAACATGGAGCCCAGCAGAGCTGTGCTAGACTTCTGACCTATAAAACTGTGAGATAATAACTTTTTTTTAAGCCACTAAGTTTTGTGGTAATTTGTTTTGGCAGCAATAGAAAACTAACACGGTTGAAATTTTGATGATATTAAGGAAATATCATTAACTTTTTAGATGTGGGGAAAAAACCTAATACAGACCTCATTGTCATTGTCCTCTACTGTCACATCTTTGCATAAATCCTGACAATTCTTGTTCCACCCTCACATGTATATCTAAATCATGCAATCTCCAAATAGTCCTATTGCTGGAAGGACATAGGTTCTGAAAGATCTACTTCAAAGCCAAAGACAGGAGACTCTCCTTATTTCAGCTTTCTTAAGAATTCCATCTGTTTGAGTTATAAAGGTTTCTCCTTCCTTCAGGTAGAAAGCTAGAACATCTTTATTCTTAAACTCAAAAGTTATAAAATTATAGTGTTTTGCAATTAACTCAGACCATGTTTAGGTTTACAGTAGCTCTGAAAATCTGCAGGGTCTTTGCAGATCACTGGCTTGTTCATTAGTCATTAATCTGAGAAGACTGAAGGGAAAGGCTTGTTCTCTGTAGGCCATCCCAGAATAGCTCACATTGTTTCCCCTGGCTCAGCTAGTGCACAAGAACATGATATAAAATGTTCCTTCTGCTTAGTCCCTCTTTGCGGAAAATGTAAATAGATTTTTTCCCACCACCGTGGGGTCAGGCCATGACTCCAAAGGAACATGAGTTAAACCAGTTTGGGCCTTGGCAGTAGACATGTGACGTGGTCTTATTCCTTTCCTTTCCCTTGGGCCCATCTTTCCAGAGCCACAATTTTATTTTAAACTTGGTAGAAGAAGTTTGGTTTTAATTATGTGCCTCCTGAACTCCTAATAACTTTCAAGTTAAAAGCTTTTGTGGGGGATTTTTCTGAGCCAGCCTCTGGTATTTTGAGGGCCCTACACATTTTACAAATCAAAAGCAGTCTGGTTTCTGTCCCTTTCTGGGATTGCCATCTGAATTAATGGTGATCTTCACTGTTCTTTTATTAGAAACAGGCCCAAGCAATGAGATTATTATGGAGAATTTCAAGAGATATGAAAGGAAGATGATACTGCTGAGAGAGAACATTTTTAAAAGGAAAAAGCAGGGGAGACAGGAAGACGCCTGCTTCTTAGTTTGGGGGTATTTTTTAAACTATGGTCTATCTAGCTAATCATTCTTTTACCTCTCTATATTCATATTGGTTTCTAAGCAACTTTTTGTATCTTCTGCTCTAGGGTTCCGTTCGCAATATTTATTGCCCTTAACTGGGCCATAAAAGCTGTAAAGTAATTCTTTCTCTGAACAGTTTTTATCTAGTTCAGACAACACCAGAGAGTATCATCTTCATGGCTGTCATCCATTTGTCTTCAGTAGAAGGTAGAGCAAAACAATCTTTAACAAAAGCACTTACAGAAGTTCTAAGAGTTCCAGATTAGGGCATACAACATAATACATTTGTATGTTAACCTGCAAAAGACCTTTTTCTTATGCGATATCATCATGTACAAATAAGCTAGCTATTCAGACTCTACTTAAAGAGCAGAGTAGGAGCAAAGTGTCCCAGGGGACGTGTGAAATGACAGCCTATCAGACTAAAGAGGAACCAAATAGGGCAGCCTTGCTAAGAGGTGGCTTTTCGTCATGGAAGCCCTCTGTATTTTATTTTATTTTGTTTTATTTTTTGTCTCAATAAAAAATGTCTCAAGCTGTCACCCTGGGTAGAGTGCCGGGGTGTTATAGCTCACATCAATCTCCAACTCTTGAGCTCAAGCGATCCTCTTGCCTCAGTTCTATTTTTAGTAGAGACAGGATCTCACTTTTGCTCAGGCTGGTCTCTAGCTCATGAGCTCAAGCAATCCACCCACCTCAGCCTCCCAGAGTGCTAGGATTACCGGTGTGACCACCACACCCAGCCTGGAATCTCTCTTTAAATCAGGGGTTATGCTCATCAGTATAATAATCTGCATTTTTGCAAAATGTATGTTTCTTAGCTTTAATACTGGAGATTCTTACAGTGGGTCTAGGCAGTGATCTTTCTGTATGAATTCTTAAAGATCCCCCAGATGATTCTGCTGTACACCCCTGGTTAAGCACCACTGGACTAGACAAGGCTTTTTAATGTTCGTGTGTGTGTGTGTGTGTGTGTGTGTGTGTATGGGGTTTTGTTTGGGGAGCGGGGTAGAGACCAGAGTTGGTCTTGAACTCCTGGCCTCAAACAGTCCTCAGCCTCCCAAAGTGCAAGGCATGGGCTACCACACCCACTTTTTCATTTTTAAATAGCATTCTAGGGAGTAGAAGGGGATTTTCTCACCTCCCCTAACCCTCTCATACTTTTACTCTCACTAGAGATCTGGGAGAAAACCAGGAACTGTCCTGAGTTGTCTTTCTTTTTTTTCTTTTGGGCGGGGGGTTGTTTGTTTTAGAGTCTCTAGCTATCGCCCTGGGTAGAGTGCTGTTGTGTCACAGCTCACAGCAACCTCAAACTCTTGGACTTAAGCCATTCTCTTGCCTCAGCCTCTCAAGTAGCTGGGACTATAGGTGCCAGCCCACAACACCTGACTGTTTTGTTATAGTTGTCATTGTTGTTTGGCAGGCCCGGGCCAGGTTCAAACCTGCCAGCCTTCAGGTATGTGGCCAGCGCTGAGCCCTTTTTTTCCCTTTTTCCTGGGCTCAAGTGATCTTCTTGCCTCAGCCTCCTGGGTGGCTAGGACTACAGGCGCACACCACAATGGCCATCTAGTTTTTTTTATTTTTAGTAGAGACAGGGTCTCACTCTTGCTCAGGCTGGTCTTGAACTCTTGAGCTCAAACAGTCCACCTGCCTTGGCCTCCCAGAGTCCTAGGATTATAGGCATGAGTCACCATGCCCAGCCCTGTTCTGGGTTTAGTATTTGTAATTGCAGTATTCACTTACGGCAAAGTTGAGGGTTTGTGAACTGAAGCAAATTTATAAAACAAATATTGAGATCCAGAGAAGCTACATGTTACTGAGAAAGTTGATGATAGTCACTCCTAGAACACGAGCTTGGCTGGTTAGTTGGGTAGGGTGGGAGCAGTTTTTAAACATTTTACATTTTGCTGACTTTACCTTAAAATATGCTGTCCCCAAAACCTTATATCTAGGAAGTCATGGAATATAAACAAGCATAAGCAAGAACTACAGTAGCCTTTTGTGCAATCAGTTGAATTGTTTTACTTAAATGGTACCCCCATCTCCAGCTGTGAATTTCAGACATTAGATCTGAAAAGTGCATTTATAAATGGAAATAATAAAAATCAGCCCCTTGCTAATGCTGTTTTCTTTTTTGTTTGTTTGTTTTTGTCTCCTTTCTCTAGCATGAAAGACTTTCTAGGTAAGAACTCTCTCTGTTTTATATGCATGCTTAATACTTGTAAGTGAATGCATGTCTAATTAAATTTAGCTTTATATAAAAGTTTAGTAGTGTTTCTCACATCCTTTCCTTTCTTTTCATTTCTACAGCGACCACAATAATTCAGACTTTTATTATCTCCTCCCCAAAGTAATGGAATAGTTTTTCAACTCACTCTCCTACCTCCAGATTCTCCTCTTTCCAATTCATAATGTTTACTTCCACTAGATTAATTTTTTTAAAGCAGCAGAGTACTAGGCACCATGCTAAGTATTAGGGAGTCAACATGAATAAGATAATTTTCTTACTTTAAATTAGCTTACAAGCCAGAGAGACGGATTATTCTAATAGAATGTAGTAAGTGTCAGTCAGAAGTAGAGACAGGCCAGGTGTGGTGGCTCACGCCTGTAATCCTAGCACTCTGGGAGACCAAGCCAGGTGGATTGCTGGAGCCAGAGCAAGACCCAATCTCTTAAAAATAGCTGAGTGTTGTGGCAGGCGCCTGTAGTCCCAGCTACTTAGGAGGCTGAAGCAAGGGGATCACTTGAGCCCAAGGGTTTGAGGTTGCTGTGAGCTATTATACCATGGCACTCTACTGAGGGTGACAAAGTGAGACTCTGTCTCAAAAAAAAAAAAGAAAATTAGTAGAGACAGATGAGCACAGAGAAGAGCGATTAACCTAATCTGGTGGTTTAGGGAAGGCTTCATTGCAGCGTTACAGCCTAAACAGAGATTGAGGTTAGATCCTGTCGTATAATAGTGGATGCAACATAATACCTATATCTAGATGGTGCTCAGTAATACTTTGCTGAATGAACTAAAGACTTGTTTCACAATTGCTAAAAAATTAAGAAAGGACGTTAGGGTGTGGGGGATGACCCTTTGTAATTTATCTCCTAGTTGCAAAAGGTACCAAACTGATCTTCCTAAAGAAAAATAAATAAATAAATGATAAAGACTATAGAGTCAAAAGTTTGAATCTTTCTTTTTCCACTGTTCCTCTGAAGGAATATTAAGAAGAGATTGGGGGGGCTCGGCGCCTGTGGCTCAAGCGGCTAAGACGCTAGCCACATACACCTAAGGTGGCGGGTTTGAATCCAGCCCGGGCCCACCAAACAACAATAATAATGGCTGCAACCAAAAAATAGCCGGGCGCTGTGGCGGGCGCCTGTGGTCCCAGCTACTTGAGAGGCTGAGGCAGGAGACTCACTTGAGCCCAGGAGTTGGAGGTTGCTGTGAGCTGTAATGCCATGGCACTCTACCCAGGGGGACAGCTTGAGGCTCTGTCTCAAAAAAAAAAAAAGAAGAGATTGGAGGAAGAGGTAGTTATGGGATAGCATATGGCCAACAAATCTTTTTTTTTTAATTAAATCATAACTGTGTACATTAATACAATCATGGGGTACTACAGTATTCTGGTTTTATATACAATTTGAAATATTTTCACCACACTGGTTAACATAGCCTTCATGGCATTTTCTTAGTTATTGTGTTAAGACATTTATATTCTACATTTTGGCTAGTAAATCTTTATAACTTAACTTAGGAATTAAGTTGGTTCTGCCTTATTAATATATTTTAAATTTTACATGTATTTTTTCCCTGCTTGCCCTCTCACCAGGCAGCAACCAGAGAACAAATAATTTACATCTAACCTAGCAGAAATAACTTAGGTGTTCAAAACTGTGGAAAGTGGTATTTTGTTGTAGTTAATAATTTTTTGTCAACTCTGTTTTGTGTATTATAATGGCCATTTGTGAAAGGAAATTTTCCCCTTTCAAACTTCAAAATATGCTGTAAAACTGTAGTGATTAAAATGGTGAGGCACTAGTTCAAGGATAATCAGAAAGATCTATGGAATACAGACCCTAGCCCCAACATGTTACGTGTATAAGCTAAATTTTCATGTTAGTCGTGAAGAAATCAGTAAGTGGTCATTAGGACAATTGATTGTCTATTTGGAAACATATATCTTTTCCTCAAGCCAAACAAAAAAAGAGGGAGAGGAGGAAAGAAAAAACAATCTCAGATTAGAATTTTTAAGGAAATAGGGTTTTACATAAAAGTTGGTAGAAGAAAAGATTTTGCATTCCTGATATAGGAAAGACTTCTAAGAGTGATAACATAAAAGGTAAAAATTGTCTAATTATATAAAATTTTAAATATCTGCTATTAACAGATACTATAAACAGAGACAATAGTGAAGTGGGAAAAATATTTGTAGCCTGTGTTAGACAGTTTAAAAACCCCTCCTATGTAGAATGTTCTTCCAAAGATGATACCTACAGCAGAAAGGCTGTGAATAGGCAATTCAGAAACAAAGGTAAATAATGAAAGATACTGAAGCTCCCTAATATTTTTTAAAATATTAAAATTAATGACAGTGAGATATTATATTTCTCCTATTGGACTAGAAAGGATTAAACCTCTCTGGAGGCAGTATGGTGAGAGATATATATGTACATTTAAAATATATTTAGGCTTGACCAGTTATATACTTCTAAGATTTATCCTAAGAAACAAATTAGACAAAGACACTAAGATTTATAGATGTCTGTTCATTGTAGCATTGTTTATAGTAGCTAAAAACCTAAAAAAAAAAAAAAAGGCTCAGCGCCCATAGCTCAGTGAGTAGGGTGCCAGCCACATACACAGCTGGCAGGTTCGAGCCCTGCCTGGGTCATTTAAACAACAATGACAACTCCAACCAAAAAAATAGCTCAGTGTTGTGGCAGACACCTGTAGTCCCAGCTACTTGGGAGACTGAGGCAAGAGAATCACTTAAGTCCAAGAGTTTAAGGTTGCTGTGTGAGCCATGATGGCACGGTACTCTACCAAAGGCGACATAGTGAGACTCTGTCTCAAAAAAAAAAAAAA